ATATGCACACGTTTCCACGCCACCTATGAGGTAGTGTACTTAGCGTGTTTTTTTAACGTGGTTTCCCCAGTAGGCCTATTCCGCCTGTCTGTTGTGATTTTTTCAAATTGAAAACTTGCATAATAAAATATATTAGGAAGGGTTGGAAATTATAAAAGCGATTGAAATTTAAAAAATTTGAAAATTCATTAATCTGAGTCATAACCTTCAAATACTTCTTCTTGGTCTTCTTCTTCTTCTTGATCTTCTTCTTCTTCTTGATGTTCATCCTGGGTGTAGGTAAACTGCGTCAAGAGTGATGTATCGCATGTTTCCTCGTTGGTATCAAATGAATCCTCCACTATTGGTGATTCAGCATTAGAACATGACTGGCCTTGACAATGTGTACATGCCAGAAAACACAACAGTCCAACTTTTTTACAACCACATTTAGCGCTGCATGCCTTTTTACAGTTGCAAAAAATTGTGTTCAGTAGTTTTTCCGGCGCAGGTGGGAGTAAAGTCTGAATAGGTTCTAATGCATTGTCGATCAACTTCCAACCCCAGTCTTTTGGGTCTAGCTGATAACCAAGCCACACTTGAACTTGGTAATATACCCGGAAAAGATGTTGATGAGCAGCAACTGAGGTTGGAGGAAGACAAGCTAATTGCACCTGTTTCTTATTTTTAGTGTTTTTTACGAAACATGCATACCGATACTTATCTAAGCAGGTGTTTTTTTTTCGGAGCTTTGTACATAAAAAGAAAAAACTGAATCCCGTTGGCGATAATTTCTTGTTGGGTCGAATAACTTTTTTTGAAAACTTCAGCACATTGAACTAAATCTTGTTTTTCAAACATTTTAAAGACTGTTGCTTTACCCCACCTGTAAAATGCAGACGTCGTATAACAGCCAGTTATTGCGTGACTCTTTGCAAAAGTAGATAAACTTTTTGACGAATATATTTCGGTTTGACTTTGAGCCTTTCGTGGCTTCAGAAAGAAAATAGCTTTTTCAGGTGGATTTCGAGAAGTAAGAAGTACGAGTAAGTCTATATCTTTACCAACAACAATAGTTGTATTTGTCAAATTAAATTGCTCTATAGCTTTCACTAGCGTACAAATTAACTCTTATTAGGTATAGTCTAATTTGAACGGACTAATCGTTCTACATGATTGTTACTTATTGTTGTTCAATAGCTATCTGTTTTTTCAATTTCATTTAATGTGCATAATAGTTCACATCTGGAATTCAATAGAAATATTTTGCTTACATTTGTACATGCATAGTCACATTTTTACATTGGACTCTTCATGTGTTTATTTTCTATACCTACCTACACAAACGAAATTGAAAATACAGGAGTTTTAGATCGTAAAAGCAAGAATATACTCGTAAGAACAAAAGTGTTTCGTTTGTGATCGCTGTAGTATTCAAACACATAAAATTGTCGCAAACTAATTTCATTTCGTCAAAGTAGAAATAGAGAAGCCAGTGTATCTAAAAAATACAAAACAGTATTAGCCAAGAATAGATTCCGATAGGTATGTAGGTGCAACAATGAATAGTACATGGGCGTGAACGATTATAGCCTAAAACTTATTCGTTCACCTCCATTCTTCAAAATTTGGCCGCGTTAATCCGTCTTTTTTCTAGTCCTAAAATAAGGTCCGTTTATTTGGAATGTGTTTTTGTAGCAACATATCTAAAATATTCATTCTACTATGTCGTGATTTTGTACTCTGTACTCTGTTTTTATTTTTCCTCTTTTCAGCTTATGATGTCGTTAAGCGATTTCCGGCCAATTTTTCTCTACAAGTTCAAATTGAACCAAAGCGCTGCCGAAACAGCTCGAAAAATTACCCAGGCGTTTGGCAATGATATTGTTAATGAACGCCCTGTTCGACGTTGGTTTGCGAGATTTTGTTCCGGAGATTCAAGCCTCGAAGATGAGCCCCAAAGTGGTCGACCTACAGTAATCCAGGACGAGGATTTGAGGACCCTGGTGGAGACTGACCCATCACAAACAGTGCGTGGGATGACGAAAAAAACTGGGCGTCAGCTCCTAGGCCCTTTTTAATGGTTTGAAACGTATTGGAAAGGTCAGAAGGCTCGAAACGCCCCACGATTTGAACTATCGACAGAAATTGTCATGTTTCGAGGTGTTTTTCTTTGCTTGTGAACCACCTCTTTTGAATCATGCTCAAAAACACTTGAAATGTTGACAGTGGCATACGGTGATTGCACTCAGAAANCGTTCTTTGAAATCAAAAATAGAGGAATTAGTATAAAGATTGCTAATGAGGATATTGAAAGTGTAACAGTCGTGAAGTATTTGGGAGTATATTGATTGACCAAGGACTAACATTCAAAGAACATGTATTGAAAATCACCAATAAAGTCAATTTTCTGATGATAATATCGCCTAGCCTATCTAGATGGACAAAAATTACAATTTATAATCATCAATCACACTTATTATAATACATTAGTTTTACCACATCTTACTTTCTGTTCTTCAATACTATTTACGGCTAATAAAAACGAGTTGGATAGACTTCAAAAGCAAGAAAATAGAGCCACGAGAATAATACTGGGTGTACCAAGTAACACGTCAATAGTCAACATGTTGAGAGAATTGAAATGGATGGCATTAAAAGACTATGTGTACTATCAAACAATGGCACTGATATATAAGATGCATCACCATCTATCTCCAAACTACTTGAGCAGAAAAATAACATATGATGAAAATTATCATGATTATAATACCGAAATATCCATGTAGGAACTAAAAATAAGAGGTGTACTGAAAAATATATGTATCATGTAGGAATGTTGCCTTTCAATAATTCAGATTATGGTATCAAAGATTGTAATTCGATAAGTAAATTCAAGAGAAGGTTGGAAATGCACATAATGGGCGAGTAATTTTGATTTTATTTTATTGTTATTTCTCGAGTTCAATAACTTCATTACTATTCCAAAGTTTTTAAAGTGTTGTGTTTGTTGCTTTGTATCTGTATCAATACTTTTGTCTTACCTTTGTAGCCCCCATATGTGTAGATATTTCATATGAGTGGCTGAAGTTTATTATTTGTGACTGTAACCAGTCATAATTATGTATATATTTGTAATTCATTGTTTGAATATTTTGACATTAGCCTAATGATAGTTAGGATCAAACATATTGTATATTAGCTTTAGCTAAATAAGGGAATTAATACTGTTTTCTTTCATTACCGTTACATAGTACATCAGGAGTTTTTGCCACATGGTCGTACGCTCAATAAGGAGTATTATCTTGAAGTTATGCGAAAAGCAACGCGAAGAAAACGTCCGATATTGCAGAAAAACAATTTATGACTTTTGCATCATGATAACGCACCTGCTCACTCGTCATTACATGTTCGCAATTTTTTTCCAAAAACAACACCGTAATCATGACTCGGCCACCGTATCCACCAGATTTGGCACCCTGCGACTTTTTCCTGTTGCCAAGATTGGAGAGACACATGAATGGACGGCGTTTTGCGACGATTGAGGAGATAAAAACCAAATCGCTGAGAGACCTCAAGACCATACCAAAAAGGGCATATCGAAATTACTTTGAAGGGGACAAAATAGAAATTGATGAATAAATGATTCATTTTTGAGAAAAACATTTTCTGAATAGACAGCGTACTTGCACATATCCAGTAGATAATAATAATTACTTCTTAGAGTGGTATTGAAATCAATATTAGATTAATAAATATAAAAAAATATTCGACGTTTTGATAAAAAATAAAATTTGGCCAAATTTCTCGTTTCAACATCGTTGAGTGCTGACAGTTCTGTTAAAAATCAGTTTTTCTGTTAACCAGCTGTCGCCCCC